AAATAGACATTTTGAAATGTACCCTTATCACAATATAGACCTTATAGGGATATGAGTCAAATCAAAATAGACATTTTGGAACATACCCTGATTACAATATAGACTCTATACCGATACGAGTCAAATCAAAATAGACATTTTGAAACGTACCCTGATCACAATATAGACCCTATACCGACACGAGTCGAACCAAAACAGATATTTTGAAACGTATCCTGATCACAATATAGACCCTATATCGACACAAGTTGAATCAAAATAGACATTTTGAAATGTACCCTGTGTTAGGAATCACACAAATAGTATAATATTATCCATTTTGAGTATAAGCTCTGGTGGCTTTGCTTTGTCTTCCCAAAAAAAGCCTCGTACCAGTGGAGATAGCATTCCCCACTTATAAACCCGTGATCTTCCACTAAATTAACAAATGTGGGATTCACTCCCAATAATCCTCAATACCCTGATCACAATATAGACCCTATACCGACACGAGTCGAATCAAACTACACATTTTGATACGTACTCTGATCACAATATAAACTGTGCACCCGAAATCCAAATCTAAAATACACTTTAAAAAGCCTCCATTTGAAGCAACCCAAGAGATCAAAGCAAAAATTAATGGAAAAAACAGGCTCCTCCTTCATCTTCCTAGCTTTCTTCCTCCTTCAAACACTGATCAAACATGAAGCCACCAAAGTTCCAGCCATCATAGTATTCGGAGATTCCTCTGTAGATTCAGGCAACAACAACCACATCTCCACCGTTCTTAAGAGCAATTTTCCTCCTTATGGCCGTGATTTCGACGGCGGAAAGCCCACCGGAAGATTCTCCAACGGCAAGATCGTTACAGACTTCATCTCTCAAGCTTTTGGAATCAAAGCTACCATCCCAGCCTACTTGGATCCAAGCTTTAATATCACTGATTTTGTCACCGGGGTTTGCTTCGCTTCCGCCGGAACCGGCTATGATAACGCCACTTCTGATATATTTGTAAGTTGATTCTCGTTCTTTCATAGATGTTCGTGGGTTGAATTGGGTCGGGTTGAGACATTTATTAAACTCAACCTAATTGTTCGTGTCTTTTCAATTTAAACATATCGTGAATCAACCCAATACCTAAAATTTTCATTTATTTGAACCGAACTAAATTCAAATACGTTCATAACCCAACTCAAATTGGATTGAATTGATCAAAATTTTCAACCTATTGAACTTTTTGAACACTGGGTTAAGGCTTGATATCGAGCCCGATAACTCTTTATAGCAAAAGATGATAGGGAGTCTGATGATCTGGTCAATATTACTCCTTGCATTTTCTCTCTCATATGTCTGTGTTCATTTGTTTGTCTCCTATTACTTTGTGTTCATCTAGATCGAATGTGTACATTCTTGTACGATCCTAACACTTGATTCTTCTTGTACAGTCGGTGATCCCTCTATGGAAGCAACTCGAGTACTACAAAGAATACCAAACCAAACTCCGAGACTATCTTGGTGCTTCAAAGGGCAATGCCACCATAGCTAAATCTCTCTATCTCATCAGCTTAGGCACCAATGACTTCCTCGAAAACTACTTCCTTCTTCCTCGGCGATCGTCCAAGTTTTCCGTGGAAGAGTACCAAAGTTTTCTAGTGCGAGTGGCTGCGGAGTTCGTGCGGGAGCTATACAAGCTCGGGGCGAGGAAGATGTCGATCGGGGGGCTCCCTCCGATGGGGTGCCTACCATTGGAGAGGACCTCTAGCGTGGTTTTTGGAGGTGGTGGTGAGTGTGTTGAGAAGTACAATGGAATTGCAAAGGATTTCAATGGGAAGTTGATGGGGTTGGTGGAGATGTTGGAGAAGGAATTGGGTGGGATTCGGATTGTGCTTTCGAATCCATTTGATGTTCTTTCCGACATGATTGATCATCCTAGCTACTTTGGTGAGTGAGTTCTTCAAATTCTGTTTGTGGTTTGGTTTTTTTTTCGAAACAAATGATACGATATGATTGACGGTTTTGTTAGATTAGTGGGACGAGAGAAACTGAAACTAGGCGTGTTCAAAAAATTCTATAACTCGAAAAACTCGATCAAAGAATGGGATGGGTTATCAACATATTTTGATCGAGTTAGTGTAACGGTCAAAGCCCACCGTTAGCAGATATTGTTCTCTTTGAGCTTTCCCTTTCGGGTTTTCCCTCAAGATTTTTAAAACGCCTCTACTAGAGAGAGGTTTTCATACCCTTGTAAAGAATGCTTCTTTTTCCTCCCTAACCGATGTCGGACCCCCTAATCCACCCCCTTTGAGGCCAACGTCCTTGCTGACACATCACTTGTGTCTACCCCCCTTTGAGACTCAGTCTCCTCGCTGAAACATTGTCTGGTGTCTGGCTCTAATACTAACCTGTAGCAGCTCAAGCTTACCGTTAGTAAATATTATCTTATTTAGGCTTTCTCTTTTGGGCTTCCCCTCAAGGTTTTTAAAACGCGTTTACTAGAGAGAGGTTTTCATATCCTTATAAAGAATGCTTCGTTTTCCTCCCTAACCGATGTGAGACCCCCTAATCCACCCCTTTCGAGGCCAGCGTTCTTGCTAGCACACTACCTCGTGTCCTCGTTGGCACATCGCTCAGTGTCTAGCTCTAATACCAACCTGTAACGGCTCAAGCCCACCATTAGCAAATATTATCTTATTAGGGTTTTCCCCCTTGGGCTTCCTCTCAAGTTATTTTAAACACGTCTATCAGAGAGAGATTTTCATACCCTTATAAAAAATATTTTGATACCAACCTGTAACGGTTCAAACCCACCGCTAGCAGATATTGTCCTCTTTGGGTTTTCCCTCTCAAGGTTTTTGAAACACGTCTACTAGATAGAGATTTCCACACCCTTATAAAAAATGTTTCATTCTCTTCCCTAACCAACGTGGGATCTCACACAACCCTAACTAAAACAGATAGTTTTTCCTCGAGACGGTCACAATGTAACTAGACCCGAGATATAGGTTTAAAAAATCCGAATATCTCGATAACGGTAGCCCTTTATCTCTCGATTTTTCATCTGTTTTTATGGAACTTTTGAAGCCTTTTTTGTTTGTGATGACAGGGTTTAGCAACTCAGCAAAAGCATGCTGTGGAACAGGCAGGTTTGAGATGGGATTCATGTGCTCAAGATTGAGTCCATTTACATGTGATGATGCCAACAAGTACGTGTTTTGGGATGCCTTTCATCCCACACAAAAGGCTCATTCCATTATGGCAAATCATATTGTTAAAACTTATCTATCAATCTTTCTTTCAACATAAAAACTTTTTAATATATAAATAAACGAGTGAATGAATATACCTATAAATCCCGTTTGTTTACCTGAACGGTACGATTCGTGTTAAAATAGTAGCAAAATGTGTGCTGAATCACGAGATGATATGATTTTTTAAGACGGTTTCTTATGTTCGTAAAAGTAAAATTTACTGGATTGTGCATGTTCAATGTTAATGGTTTCATGGAACTGATCGCTTGAGTCTATAAGTTGCCCTCATGGGCCGTTCCTGTCAAGGTCGGTCTCATCTAAATGAAGTCTACTGACTCACATAGAATATAGGGTGAGCTTTCACCTGATCACTTGAATCTATATGTTGCCTCTCCTATTCGCTTCTCTACCATATGACTTTTCTTTCCTTCAAGTTGGGTCAAACTTCAAGTTGGTCCAGTTAGCTTCCTGAATCAACCGAATAAGGTTCACCGTCCAAATCAACCCAACTCTTTTTTTGGGTTGGATCAGATTGAATGGCGAGAACCGTTGATTTTTTCTTAATTATTTTAAAAACTCGTACTTATCTATGTTACATAAATATCTAAAATCTCATATCAAACATTCATAAGTTACAACCCATTACCAATATTTATTACAAATGTCAAGTTGTCTTTTCAAAGTTAGGTTGAAATTTTTTTTTACCAACCTAAAATTTTCAAACGGGTCGAGTTAAACCGACAAAAAGAAACTCAACCGGTAAACAAATCAAAACTTTATTCTTCAAAACTCAACCCAACAAAAAAAAAAAAATTGGGTAGCCTGAATTATTCATGTTGTCGAGTCATTTAAGCACCCCTACCACTGCGAATGTCGAACTAAAAAAAACTTTCAATTTTTGCTCATTCCATAAAATATTTGAATTTTTATTCAATTAATTTTTATCATAAAAGTGTTAATAAAATTTGAAATTCTATGATTATTTTGATTTTTTTTTTTTTTTTTTTATTAGCACAAAAATTAG